CCCCCCCCCCCCGGGCTTGCTACCTAGCTATGTGGTCGGTTGGACTTCCTGCGTTTCTGAATACCTGCATAATTCAGACCACATAAGTCGGAGCAGAGAACAGAACATTATAAACAATAACAAAGACGCAAGATGAAACTGGAAACGTAGTAGATATGGGTTGCCTTATTTTGGCTCAATCGATAAATGCGAGAGTCTGAATACAATATAATACATAGCAAAGAATCATTGCGCAAAAATAATTTCTAGTGAGAACAAATTGTTCACAGTCCCTAATTTAATATACAGCTACTTGGTACTGCAAGGAGGGTGCAATATGGCAGTTAATCGTCATCACCAAACATAGCAACCAAGCAACCTAATGTAAGGTACAGGATGGTGAGTGGTATCACAATAGCGCCCACGAGAAGCCAGAACAGCAGAAGTAGTAGCACCCAACAAATACCTGAAAAATGACAAAGAAAAGACTTTGATTTCAGGCAGTTCTTAGACGAAGCATCTTTAAATGCAGAGCTAAAATCCTGTTCCAGGTGTTCAGATTGAGGGGACGGGGCAAAGAAATGTGAGCAGAAGGAGAAATTAACCGAGCGCGAAAAATTTCGTGGTCTTAATGATAAGGTAAAGCTCTATACTTGAACACACTTTTACCTCATTAAATGGAATATAAAGTACGTCTTAGAGTAATTGATTTCATTATTACTAGGAGATGGAAATAAGGGCGAACATATGAAAAGGGTGCCAGGCCTTCTTTGGTCTCACATTTTTTTGCTATTACTGAACGTCCCTGAACCCCGCACCCCACCCTTAAATATACTTATATACCTAGTCTACTTACCTACAGACGGGCATACAGGCAAACAGCCAGACAGACTACTCACGAGACAACAAACAGAAAGAGAGACAGACAGACAGAGAGTCAGAAAATGCAAACACACGGACAGACAAAAAGAAAGGTAGACAGACATCAGACAGTTTGACGGATGGATCATGTCGGACAGACAGACAGACACCATAAAAGCATTTATTTATGCACCATAAAATCTAACTAACGGCAAGTGTGATGCTGTGGGTAAACAAAAGGAAAAAAAAAAGATTGAAAAATCCTCAAATGTGTTGATCGTTTGTAATGATAAAAGCGAGATATCAAGGAACGTTTTTAAGTCATCGCTTTACAACTAACGTTTAATCTTATAACATTGATCGTCTGTGGAACTAAAACGTTAATAAAGGTCTGGATCTTAAACTAAAGTAAGAATCCCTCAATCCTTCCTTGAATCCTGTTTTACAATGTCCCTCCTTACTGTCAAAATACCCTAGAGAGCCAGGACGATAGAAAAGGCCCTTTTGTATGCAATACACAGAAATATTAGTTTAAAATGTCAATTCTGAAGAAAATCTGATCAAGTCTACTCTAATATTTGTTTGTTTATCAGTTTGTTTTTGTTCAAGATATGCTGAGACAAGCCATTGTACCCTTTCAAAGGAAACTTCTAAACCTTTTAACATTACTACAAAAGGAACATCAAAACAATGGCTCAAGGTTTGTCTTTAGGGGCAGGCACATAAGCTCTTTAGAAAACTTTTATTGCTCGTGTGAGGTGAAAAGCCGAGAAGCGTTATACCTTTTCCCCTGGGATTGTACCATACGGAATCACCGTCACAAGCAAAACAGTAGTAGCTGCAGTCACGCTCAGGTGGATCAGCGATCACCACTGGCCTAGAGGTAGGATATCCTCCCTGTTGAGGGTAGCTGGGTAATGGTGCTCCCTGGGCGTGGCCAGGAGACCCTATACTCGGGTTGTTGTTGCCAGATCCACTGTAAAGATAATGAAATATGAGTTTATGTATTTTCTATTAAGATTTCTTGTGTTATCCAGATATTAAGAAGCACAGTGAGGTGATGCGCATGCGCGCGAAACAGATAATGAGACGGTGACGCATCGCGTCCCGAAAATATAAACAAACCTTGTGGAATGGAAGTAAATGTCACTCAAAATAGTCACTATAGATCCTAGGTCATATCAAAGCACTCGTTTCCTTAATACCATGGAGAATTTACCCATGGTCTTGGGCAAGTAAAGCCAACTGTCGAGTTGTTTTTGAGAGTTGTGTTCACCCTAAAGATTTTCACCTATTATTTACTAATATGTCGACTCAGAAAAAATCTACAGTTACCAATAACTTCGGGACAGTTTCTTCCTGTGGCAAAAATAACAAGAATCGAATCCTATCAGCTTTGATTAACACATTTATAAAATTATAAATATTAGCCTGTGTAGCAGTGGATATTTAAATTATATGTTTTTCTTGCGCCTGCTATGCCGGCAGTTGATGTAAATATTAATTTGCTTTATCAAAAAATTCATAATATTACCTTCCAGCTGCTTGAACGGTGTTCACCTGATAAGCCAGAAAACTATCAACAATGGAGAAAAAAATAATGCATGCTTACCTCTTCAAATATATGAGTAACTGAGATTTACTCCAAACAAAGATGTCAACTAAAAATGGTTTGTTAAATTAGAAACAATTTGATTGTATTGGTCAAGCAATTTTCTTACAGGCCTCATACGAAAACCATTGAAAAAAAAAAATCGTTTAGTCCACTTCCGAGTTAAATTGAAAACCCCTCACTTTCAAAATGAGACCAAGTGCACAGCATCTCTCGTGAAAATGAGTTTTAATTCGCACGAGAATGAAAATCATTCCCATATCAAAGGCTGAGCACTTAACCTCGCCTTGGTACAGAGGTCCGGGGGAACTCGGAAATGGCCTATTATTAGTTTTCCCGCCTTTCGGGGTGCCGCGGTTTGCCAAAGTGAATGAATCGAAAGCGAACGTTTACAACACCAGTTCTGCAGAATCATGGCTTGAGGTTTGCAGACAAAAAGAAGTTATTGAGAGTCATAAAAAGCGATAACTGAACAATAACAACAGCAACAAAGAAGAAAACGCAACAGAACGAGTCAAGCCTTTTGATATGAGAAGAAATTCTCCCGAAGGATCGGAGTTGGTCGCTTACATCAGCGATGTAATTATTACTGTTCGAAAGAAGGACAACAGTGAAGGCCGCATGAACCCTACTCCTGACGTTCTTTAATTGATGACCAGTTTTGAACGGGTAGTTTAAGAACAGTACGGATTTATGAATATGAAAGATGCTGACTTTGAACAGGCACGCAAATCTTTAGAATCAAAACAAAAGGATCCCAAAAGGAGAAGACAAGAAAATATACCTGGCAGTTCATGTGCTCCTATAGCCTGCCGGCAGTTAAAGAAGAGGAAATTGAAAATACTGCATGACAAAGAATTGAGGGTCGACCCCTGAGAAAGAGCCTGATCCATGTTAAAAGTGAGTAAGTTAATCTTTTCTTTCTTGTGATGAGTCTTCTCTTTTCTTTTCTTTTCTTGAACATTACTGGCAACCTTATTGTTTTAAGGAATGTTTTTAACCGCGGCAGTGTTAGCTCAGTCAGTAGAGCGTGTTACTGCAGGGCAGGAGGTCCGGGGCCGGACCAAAACTCAGGGTCTTAAAATAACTGAGAAATGAAGGTACTCCCTTTGCACTGCAAGCGGCTAGACCTTCGCGTGGCTCGGATGACCACGTAAAATGGCTGTCCGGTCTCCAGTAGGAGACGTAAAAATAGTGTCCCCAATTAGTACTTTCGTGCTGAATACACTGACACTCAAATTAAGTGCGTTTTTTTCTTTGCCAATGATTCCGGGAAGAGGTAACCATGTGGAACCGTTATGATATCGAAAGTGAAAGTTCCCTATTCCGTGTAAGGAATGTGTTGAGGTTAAACACTGCCACTACATGATTATTTATTTTGATTTTCAATTCAAAAAACTGTGTGTCGTTCTTAAACACGCTGTTAGTTTTCACGATTCCGAACGTATATAAACAGTTTTATTTATCAAACGAATGCCTTTCGACAGACCATTTTTCTCGGAAGGGCTAGAGGCGGTCGTACAATCGGCACTGGCTAAATAACGGAAATGAATTTTATTTCCGCTCATTTATCCTTTCCAAAATATGAAGATCGACTAATTAGTTATAAGCATTAAAGATTTAGTGATTAGTTATACATTCACTCAGAGGAGAACATATCAAATCGCAATATATCACTTCCGCCTTTGGTCCAATAAACAACTTCCCATATCGCGGAGATTTATGAATGTATTTGCTGCAAGGCTTACAGTATTGTCCCTGCAGCTTCTTCTCTCTGGCGACTATTAAGCACTTGTACTTAACAGCACAACTCATGCTTAGTATTCTCTAAAAGAAGAATTCTTTCTGATCCAGTTCTTAAACATTCAGAACGTTTCGATTTGCCCCTTCAACTTCGGTATCTACTATGCTGTCGATCGCGTTTTGCAATATAAATTAAAGAATTCAGGTGGCAGCGCATCTCACCGTCCATCTGTGGCAGCTATCACTGTTTTCTTTGCAACTAGAACGCCTCCAACAACTGCACGCTCTTCTCGGATATGAACAACGGCATCTTGTCCACGGCTCATTTTCAATGTCTACGTCCGCACTAGTATACTGTTAGCTACGGGGTGGCTTCTTGGAACTCCGCTGGTAATATCATAAGCAGCTGTAGAAACTCTCGGCTCAACCTATGCAAGGGAGTCCGGATTCCGGAATCTGGGAAATTTTTGTTTGTGGAATTGGGAATCCGGGAAATTTTACTTGTGGAATCCAGAATCCAGAACGGTCTTGGGGTGCGTTCCTTTGGGATTATCCGCATCAAGATCAGTGACCCGAGATCACTCGGATCATGGTAGATCAAATGAAGTGAAGAGCCCTTCTTCAGAGTAGATTCATCGGTTCATTTGATCTACCATGGTCGGAGTGATCTCGGATCACTGATCCTGATCCGGATCAACCCAAAGGACCGCACCCTTGGATTCCTAAGACAGTCCTGTATTCTGGATTTCACGCCGTGTATTCGCAATTCCAGGTACTGGATTCTGGATTCTTTGACAGTGGATTCCGGAGTCCAATCATTAGGGGGATTCCGCATTCCTTGATCTGTATTCTGAATTCCAAAACTAAGGGCTCCGGATTCCACAAGAAAAATTTCTCGGATTCCACAGGAAAAATTTCCTGGATTCCACAAGAAAAATTATCCGGATTCCGGAATTCGGATTCCCTTACAAGGGGCGAACCAAAGGTTTGTATGGCTACCAATGATAATACGGGACTTTAAGATCCAATGACGCGGACGGCAACGAGAACGTCAAAAAACCAATGGGTTTTATAAGCAAAACAATAGCTTTGCACGTGCATCACACTTTTTTGTACATTTCTTTTTCCATTTTTGCACGACTTCGACGTGAAAATGCCGTATTTCACGTTTTATGGAGAACGTAAACAAGCAACTACGAAATTTAATTTCTCCTTCTGAACTTGGATATGGTCTCAAGGAATTCAACTTCAGGAGGGTTTGCCTAACTTTGACAAAGTAAGTGGGTAGGGATAATTGCGATGAAGACTGAAACAACGCAAATTCACTTTTTAAGCGACGTTCTCGTTGCCGTCGCGTCCTTGGTTCTTAAAGTCCCTATTGCCAGCGGCGACCTCGGTGCAATGTACCCAGTCTATACTCCTCTGTGTCTTAATGTGGAAGTATTCCATGCCAGGAAAAACACATCTCTCTATTTTTTACCTTGTTATTTTAAAAAAAGGAAGTGCCGTGGGGGCTGCCTGTTTTTTATACACTAATTAAATTATTAAATTATCATTTAAAGATTGTTTTATCTTAACCCACTCACAAATGTAGTAGTTGAAAGTGAACCTTTATGAGTAAACTTAAAGTACTTTAAGATACATGCAGTCCCCACTACCAACTCTCTAATTTCCTATGTTTTACGAATCGCAGATCGGCATGAAGATATTAGATTTTTGAGTGCCATATTTGCCTTTCGCCGGCCCTAAACAAATTTAGCAAGGACCTTCTTAAATTGGAAAAATGTTAATTCTAGGAAAGAGTTAAATCCTTGGAAACCAGTATATTTTTTAGGATTCGAGGGATACAGACCCTGAAAACGAAAATAATGAATCTTAAAATTATGACTCGCCGGTAACAAAACACTAAACCCCATTCAGACCTTCTTATCAACATTGCTAAGTGCTCCTTTGCACGCCTTTTATAGTGGTCGAAGACTGACCTCGGAGGAGTGTAGTATATCTTGCCTAAGAATTCAACATACTTCGCATGGGCGAGTTGTTCCAGCTGTTGTTCAAAGGAAAATGAAGCGCAAATCCAGGGTTAGCTACCCTACTCACATTTGTGTTTTTTGAGTACAACTACTTGCATTTGTGTTNGTTTTTTATACACTAATTAAATTATTAAATTATCATTTAAAGATTGTTTTATCTTAACCCACTCACAAATGTAGTAGTTGAAAGTGAACCTTTATGAGTAAACTTAAAGTACTTTAAGATACATGCAGTCCCCACTACCAACTCTCTAATTTCCTATGTTTTACGAATCGCAGATCGGCATGAAGATATTAGATTTTTGAGTGCCATATTTGCCTTTCGCCGGCCCTAAACAAATTTAGCAAGGACCTTCTTAAATTGGAAAAATGTTAATTCTAGGAAAGAGTTAAATCCTTGGAAACCAGTATATTTTTTAGGATTCGAGGGATACAGACCCTGAAAACGAAAATAATGAATCTTAAAATTATGACTCGCCGGTAACAAAACACTAAACCCCATTCAGACCTTCTTATCAACATTGCTAAGTGCTCCTTTGCACGCCTTTTATAGTGGTCGAAGACTGACCTCGGAGGAGTGTAGTATATCTTGCCTAAGAATTCAACATACTTCGCATGGGCGAGTTGTTCCAGCTGTTGTTCAAAGGAAAATGAAGCGCAAATCCAGGGTTAGCTACCCTACTCACATTTGTGTTTTTTGAGTACAACTACTTGCATTTGTGTTTATTTTAGGTGTGCATGCGCATCTGTGAGTATATTTTCGTGTTTATTTAGATGGAGGCTAACCCTGTAAGAAATGCGCCTTCCAATGCAAGATCTCTTATATCAGCGAACTCAAAACCGGACTATTACTTCCAACACGGCATCTTCTGCGGTTTTAAACAACTCAGTACTGATGAAATTAATACTCAGACACAAAATTCTACAATTCAAACAAAATTGTAATTTTTTCACCCATTACGGTCGGTTATAGATTTTGTTATAGTGTGGCATGATCACGGATGCGTTCGATTGGGAAATCCGGATTTAGATCAAAATCTAAATCCGGATTTCCCAATCGAACGCGAAATACGAAAACGGATTTCACCTCCGAGAAATCCGTCTTCAGGGTGGATTTCAATTAAGACATCCAAATCCGGATTTCATGGATTTCCTTTTTACCGTTCGATTGGGAAATCCGAAAAAGGATTCTGCAAAACAACTCTCGTGAACAGTGGTCTTCTTTTTTGCTAAGTATGCGTGCGCGTGCAAGACCGCTCCCCAAAAATATCCCGGAATCGAAAATTTCAAACCCAAAAAAATCCTCGGACAGGATCCCATAACGTAGAGCGAGTAACTTCCAGGTGCTCGTGTCATGGCGTTTTCACGGACCAGTTTACTTTTAGAACGGTTTTGGCTCAAATTTAGAATATAGAATATAAAGTCCCACAAACCAGTCACCAAAACCTACAGACCTAAAAAGGATAGTTTTTGCCTTTTAATGACATTACGTTTTCCTTTTTGACATCTTATACTTCGAATGCGTTCATACACGTGACGGAGATTCCATTTCGGGGCAAAAAGTGCCCTAAAATGTGTCTAAAACAAAATCAGTCCATAAAACGCGGTGACGTAGGCCTAGTATGGGAGTTGCCCGCTCCGGGTTATGGGCTCCTGCCTTCGATCATCAATCATCGATTCGGAGTACGCACCCGGGACATACACTACCCTTGCTACCTAGCTATGTGGTCGGTTGGACTTCCTGCGTTTCTGAATACCTGCATAATTCAGACCACATAAGTCGGAGCAGAGAACAGAACATTATAAACAATAACAAAGACGCAAGGTGAAACTGGAAACGTAGTAGATATTGGTTGCCTCATTTTGGCTCAATCTATATATGCGAGAGTCTGAATACAATATAATACATAGCAAAGAATCATTGCGCAAAAATAATTTCTAGTGAGAACAAATTGTTCACAGTCCCTTATTTTCTCGTAAGATCGAGATCTAGCGCTTATAAAAATTGTAACGGGCGCATATCTTGGGTTTAAATAGAACCGAAAATCTGCAAAAATATAGAGCTACTTGGCACTGCAAGGAGGGTGCAATATGGCAGTTATTCGTCATTACTACACATAGCACACAAGCAAGCTAATGCAAGATACAAGATGATGAGTGGTATCACAATAGCGCCCACAAGAAGCCAGAACAGCAGAAGTAGTAGCACCCAACAAATACCTGAAAAATGATAAAGAAAATACTTTGATTTCAGGCAGTTCTTAGACGAAGCATCTTTAAATGCAGAACTAAAATCCTGTTCCAGGTGTTCAGATTGAGGGGACGGGGTAAAGAAATGTGAGCAGAAGGAGAAATTAACCGAGCGCGAAACATTTTGTGGTCTTAATGATAAGGTAAAGCTCTATACTTGAACACACTTTTACCTCATTAAATGGAATATAAAGTACGTCTTAGAGTAATTGATTAGATTATTACTATGAGATGGAAATAAGGGCGAAACAGATGAAAAGGGTGCCAGGCATTCTTTGGTCTCACATTTTTTCGCTAGTACTGAACGTCCCTGAACGGCCCCCATCCCACCCTCAAATATACTTATATATCTAGTCTACTTACTTACAGACGGGCGTACAGGCAAACAGCCAGACAGACTACCCACAAGACAACAAACAGAAAGAGAAACAGACAGACAGACAGACAGACAGACAAAGAGTAAGAAAATGCAAACACATGGACAGACAAAAAGAAAGGTAGACAGACATCAGACAGTTTGACGGATGGATCATGTCGGACAGACAGACAGACACCGTTTATTTATGTACCATAAAATCTAACTAACGGCAAGTGTGATGCTGTAAAAGTAAGAATTCCTCAATCCTTCCTTGTCACTTCCTTACTGTTAAAATACCTTAGAGTACCAGGACGATAGATAAGGCCTTTTTGTATGCAATACACAGAAATATTATTTTAAAATTTCACTTCTGAAGAAAATCTGATCAAGTCTACTGTAATATTTGTTTGTTTATCAGTTTGTTTTTGTTCAAGATATGTTGAGATAAGCCATTGTACCCTTTCAAAGGAAACTTCTAAACCCTTTAACATTACTACAAAAGGAACATCAAAAAAATGGCTCGTGTTAGGTGAAAAGTCGAGAAGCGTTATACCTTTTCCCCTGGGATCGTACCATTCGGAATCACCGTCACAAGCAAAACAGTGGTAGCTGCAGTCACGCTCAGGTGGATCAGCGATCACCACTGGCCTAGAGGTAGGATATCCTCCCTGTTGAGGGTAGCTGGGTAATGGTGCCCGCTGGGCGTGGCCAGGATACCCTATACTTGGGTCGTTGTTGCCAGATACACTGTAAAGATAATCAAATATGAGTTTATGTATTTTCTATTAAGATTTCTTGTGTTATCCAGATATTAAGAAGCACAGTGAGGTGATGAGCATGAGCGCTAAACAGATAATGAGACGGTAACGCATCCCGTCCCGAAAATATAAACCTTGTGGGATGGAAGTAATTGCAAGTCAAAATAGTCACTATAGATCCTAAGTCATATCAAAGCACACGTTTCCTTAACACCATGGAGAATTTACCCATGGTCTTGGGCAAGGAAAGCCAACTGTCGAGTAGTTTTTGGGAGTTGTGTTCATCCTAAGGATTTTTCACCTATTATTTATTAATATGTCGACTCTGAAAATATCTTTAGTTACCAATAACTTCGGGACAGTCTCTTTCTGTGGCAAAAATAACAAGAATCGAGTCCTATCAGCTTTGATTAGAACATTTATAAAATTATGAATATTATTATATGTTTTTCTTGCGCCTACCATGCCGGCAGTTAATGTAAATATTAATTTGCTTTATCACAAATTCATATTCTTACCTTCCAGCTGCTTGAACGGAGTTCACCTGATAAGCCAGAAAACTATTAACAATGAAGAAAAAAATAATGCATGTTTACCTTTTCAAATGTATGAGTAACTGGGATTTACTCTAAACAAAGATGACGGTGAAAATGGTTTGTTAAATTAGAAACAATTTGATTGTTAAGTATTGGTCATGCAGTTTTCTCTTTAGTGAAAAATATAAATCGTATCACCTTCAAAATGAGGCCAAGTGCGCAGCCTCTTTCATGAGCATGAGTTTTATTTGCATGAGAATGAAAATCATTTCCATATCAAAGGCTGAGCACTTAACCTTGTTTTGGTTCAGAGACTCGGGGGAACTCGGAAATGGCCTATTAGTTTTCCCGCCTTACAGGGTGCTGCGGTTTGCCAAAGTGAATGAATCAAAAGCGAACGTTTACAACACCAGTTCTGCAGAATCATGGCTTGAGGTTTGCAGACAAAAAGAAGTTATTGAGAGTCATAAAAAGCGATAACTGAACAATAACAACAACAACTCAAAGAAGAAAACGCAACAGAACGAGTCAAACCTTTTGATACGAGAAGAAATTCTCCCGAGGGATCGGAGTTGGTCGCTTACATCAGCGATGTAATTATTACTGTTCGAAAGAAGGACAACGGTGAAGACCGCATGAACCCTACTCCTGACGTTCTTTAATTGATGACCAGTTTTGAACGGGTAGTTTAAGAACAGTACGGATTTATGAATATGAAAGATGCTGACTTTGAACAGGCACGCAAATCTTTAGAATCAAAACAAAAGGATCGCAAAAGTAAAAGACAAGAAAATATACCTGGCAGTTCATGTGCTCCTATAGCCTGCCGGCAGTTAAAGAAGAGGAAATTGAAAATACTGCATGACAAAGAATTGAGGGTCTACCCCTGAGAAAGAGCCTGATCCATGTTAAAAGTGAGTAAGTTTTTTTAATAATCTTTTCTTTCTTGCGATGAGTCTTCTCTTTTCTACAATCAATAGCACGGTGCTCGCCGTTAAGGTTTACTCCACTGACTCCGGTCACTAAACTTTCACTTGGAAAACTCTCTTGAAACAAGTTGATTCATTGTCTTAATTACCTCGTGTATTTTTCTTTCGATTTGTTGTACAGCAACTGAGGATTTCATTCCTCATTTAATAACCAACTCAATGATTCTTGAACATTACTGGCAACCTTATTGTTTTAAGGAATGTTTTTAACCGCGGCAGTGTTAGCTCAGTCAGTAGAGCGTGTTACTGCAGAGCGGGAGGTCCGGGGCCGGACCAAAACTCTTAAAATAACTGAGAGGGTCTTAAAATAACTGAGAAATTAAGGTACTCCCTTTGAACTGCAAGCGGTTAGACCTTCGCGTGGCTCGGATGACCACGTAAAATGGCGGTCCGGTCTCCAGTAGGAGACGTAAAAATAGTGTCCCTAATTACTACTTTCGTACTTTGATACATTGACACTCAAATTAAGTGCTTATTTTTTTTTTTTTGCCAATGATTCCGGGAAGAGGTAACCATGTGGAACCGTTATGATATCGAAAGTGAAAGTTCCCTATTCCGTGTAAGGAATGTGTTGAGGTTAAACACTGCCACTACATGATTATTTATTTTGATTTTCAATTCAAAAAAACTGTGTGTCGTTCTTAAACGCGCTGTTAGTTTTCACGGTTCCGAACGTATATAAACAGTTTTATTTATCGTACGAATGCTTTTCGACAGACCATTTTTCTCGGAAGGGCCAGAGGCGGTCGTACAATCGGCACTGGCTAAATAATGGAAATGAATTTTATTTCCGCTCATTTATCCTTTCCAAAATATGAAGATCGACTAATTAGTTATAAGTATTACAAATTTAGTGATTAGTTATACATTCAGTCAGAGGAGAACATATCAAAACGCAATATATTACTTCCGCCTTTGGTCCAATAAACAACTTCCCAAAGTCTTACAGTATTGTCCCTGCAGCTTCTTTCTCTCTGGCGACTACTAAGCACTTGTATTTAACAACACAACACTTGCTTAGTATTCTCTAAAGGAAGTATTCTTTCTGATCCAGTTCTTAAACATTCAGAACATTTCGATTTGCCCCTTCAACTTCGGTATCTACTATGCTGTCGATCGCGTTTTGCAATATAAATTAGAGAATTCAGGTGGCATCGCATCTCACCCTCCATCCGTGGCAGCTATCACCGTTTTCTTTGCAACTTGAACGCCTCCAACAACTGCACGCTCTTCTCGGATATGAACAACAGCATCTTGTCCACGGCTCATTTTCAATGCCTATTTCCGCACTAGTATACTACTAGCTATTGGGAGGCTTCTTGGAACTCCGCTGGTAATATCATAAGCAGCTGTAGAAACTCTCGGCTCACCCCATGCAAGGGAATCCGGATTCCGGAATCTGGGAAATTTTTGTTTGTGGAATGGGGAATCCGGGAAATTTTTTATTATAGCGCGCATTTAGCTGGCATTTTAAGCAAAACGTTTGCCTCATCCTATACTGTGTGTTTTGATCACCGGTCAGGAGCTATTTGCAGGTATTTCTAAGTTTATATAGGGTAAACAGAGAGATC